GATTAATTAATTCCAGTTTCTTTTATTAGTCTGGATCAATGTTTGGCGTTACCTACAGCGGCTGCCTTTTCCATCTCTTGCTTTCGCTGCCCACCACTGCTCACGGTCATTCCTTAGACTCTTGGTTAACCTATATCTGATTTGTTTTCGTTCTTTATCGAGTCCAGAGCTTGATGGAGTGTTTACGAGAATCCATCAGTGCAATAGACTTAGTAGAAATCCATTGGCTTTTCGTGACCGTTTGGTTCAAATCACTAATAGATGTCACTGCTGTTTCAACAGCTGTTCGTATATCTTTCCAAGCAATATATGGGTCAGCCACGTTTTCAGAACTATCGAAGTGCGACCTCAGTTGTTCATGGAATCTACTTTTGGCACTTCGTCACTGAGTCTAACCCTAATGTGGTTTTTCTGCATCCAGTGAGGAGCAAGCAAATGCGGGCTCGTATTAGAGCATGATCAGTGTCCAAACAGGTATTTGAGAACAAGCGAGTCTTCTATCGAGCCTCTCCGACGATGACTGATGGTAATATGGTTTATTTGAGTTTATTGTTGGCTTGGTGCAGGCGGTCGCTATGTTAGACGATGTCTCTCCTTATGCTTAAAATTAGTGTTTGTTAAAAATAAACGATTGTCTGAGCATAGTTGCAGCATACGATCACCATTATCTGTTCGTTGTGCCGGTATACTAAAATACCCACATAAATGCCTTTCCGTTTGGTTTAAGCTACCTACCTGGGCATTAAGGTCACCTGCTACGAGTACTACGTCTGAACGTTTAGCTTTATGAAGTACAGAAAGCTTTCCGTAAAACTCATCCGTCACTTCATCCGGACTACTGTCAGTGGGAACGTAGGCAGAAACGACGAAAAGACAACGACGTATCCCTATCCTTACGAGTTCTTATGGGTCCGTTCAGCTGAACACCACTCAGATGACTGTTAACGGGGATCCATTCTAATGGTGCTTGTTCTGCCCTCGTACTCAGTGCTACGTCTACACCCGCCAGTCCACGAGAACTAGCCATCGGGTCGCCAGATATACGGAGGGTGTTTCTCGTCGGCTCCCCGTTTTGGCAAGGTGAGGTCAAGTAAGTGACCACACTAGCACCCTGTATGTGTGTTTCGGAGACATAGCATACATCAATAGTATGAGATTCTAGGGTTTCAGCCAAAGAGGGTACGTACGTTGAAGGATTCAATGTGTAGTTTGGAGCGAGGTTTCAGTAGACCTGGGGCAGCGTTTCGCGCACTAGAGTCGTTGGCCATAGTGACACTTGCGAAGGAAGTTTCGAGTTGAAAGTCGAGGTAGGAGGAATAATAGAAAGTGAGGAGGGACACTGAGTATGAATACAATGATCTTGAGTGCTGCTAGAGGTATGAGAGCAGTTATCACTTCCCGGTTGTCCACACCGTGGAAGGGTTCTTCTGGAGGTATCTGAGAAGGAAATTGGTTTAGGGGTTATTTTAGTGACCTGAGAGCACATCCACGATGCCCAGGGGACAACTACTTGAGGCCGGACACATGACATTTTCACGAGTAGTTTTCGTGTTAGCTCCGTACTTGTTGATACCTTACCACCGGAAACGGATATCCGTGGGATAAGTTGAGGTGTGCATTTCTAGGGCCGACCTTTTCTAACCTCACCCCTCCTTGTAGGAAGGCAGCATCGCTGTTATGCTGGTTTTCTGAAGGAATCACCATACTGCCGTCGCACCTCTATACAGTAAGAAGTACGATTTCGCCCTCGTACATTGGGTTTACTGCTTTTAGTCTTACCGCTCTTCAACCGACTTGTCTGGCATGGTAGGACCTTATGAACGATTGTCCCAGCCAATATAGCCCGATTGGTTCATTACGATAGGCAAGTCCGACGACAACTTAAGGGTAGCAGCAACGGTATATGCACCTGCGTCATTGCAAACGATTTTGAGCCATGTCATTCAGTCTCTGAACACTGGTTAGGATAATCATGCGGACCCCAACCAGATCATCTACACATGTTAACACGGGCCAGTCCAGGTCTCAGTGATACCATTTTTTATTTGGCCGCTCATAGTTTTCTTTCAGCAAACTCTTACGATAACAGTTCGCTTTGTATCAATATAATGTTGGTAAACTTGGACAAATTCTAGGTAATCTATTTTATTGTTTGATCCATCTATCCTATTCTTAATATTTCCGGTCAGTCAAATGTGGTGTAAGGTATAGCACGTTTGTGAGTCGGTTCACGTTACCGCACAACCAGACGGAATGATCAAGACAAATGCCAGACTATATTAATTGTAGTACTAACAATATCAGTAGTAGGAGTAGAAAACACTAGGTATAGCCAACCTGATATTGGGAGAATAATTTTACGGAATATAAAGTATGGCATGATTTCGAAACTCAAAATTTAATGCAAGATAAGTTGAGTGCGTGTGTTCAATTGTGACTGATTCTGGACGATTTCTTTTAAGATCTATAAATATTGGTCACAATTACTGTGCAGACTGCAACCACACTCCGGATTTACGGACATGGCTCAACCGAACAGTTTGTGCTTTCATGAGCTGGCGTTACGTCTAGCTTTGGGCACATTTAGATTTCTTTCATCCTACTTCTATGTCAATCAACATTGTTCATTGTGACAGAATGCGATTGCACATACGTAACACATATCCTAGCCAATTCAACGATGAATATCCACTACCGATTTACCATTTTATAGCGTCATACAATTAAGTTTCACATTTTGATAGGACCTAGAGTATTTTTAATCATAATTCATTTTATTTAAGATATGATTATAGATGACATTTGTAAAATGATATATACTAAACTAGTACTGTTTTATTTAAAAAATTTAGTCACGTCGCTTTGTAAACTGGTGTCCAGGAACACATTTCATTCGTGTTTCAGATCCAGCAGAAGATGAAGCTGTCAAGTTGCTTATGAATACGGTAAATAAATTTCACTCATCATTATATATATATATATATATATATATAGTTATCATTAATACGGATTTCTCTATTTCATGCATACATATATGAAAATATTCTAGTCAACAATCTTATTCATAAGTTCACAAAAATAAATGATGTCTTTGTGAACTAGTATCATTTGTTCATTTATATAGTTTTTGTACTGAACTTTAAGCCAAACTGTTTGTGTGCAAATGACGAGTGAGTATGGCTACTTACTATCCGGCTGTGATTCGAACATGAAATCTGCTAGTTGAAAGTTGAGTCGTATTCAGCCGCTAAGAAACAATTGTTATCAGAATTAATAAGTTCATCGTAAGATGTTTGTGGAGATTGTTAAATTTCGATGTTTTACATCATAGACTGATGTCATATTGCTGTAGCAATACGTATGCACAACTCCGAAATCGTCAACCCACTGAGTTGGTATCTAATGATATTTATTTCTGATTTCCGACGATTCACGATTATCATCCAGTAATGCATATAAGCCTTGTTTCACATTCGGCATAGCTGATCTCATCTGGTCGCGGCTTCGTTATAGAACTTCTGGAATAAGTTACCGGTGAACACGAGTTTATATCGGAAGGGTTTTGTGGATATTATTATAATTTCAATGGTTGAGATCACGAGTCAGTTGAAGCTAGACCACCATGAAAAACCTAGAAGCACTGGAGGGCCGTTTCGTCCTATCGTGGAACTCCTCAGCGGTGCGCATCCACGACCTCACCTTGCGAGATTCGAACCTAGGACCTACCAGTCTCGCGCGCTTAGGAGTCCCACAATAGGGTGAAACGGCCGTCCAGTGCTTCTAGGTTTTTCATGGTGGTCTAGCTTCAACTGACTCATGATCTTAACCATTGAAATTACTACAACCTCCACAAAACCTGATATGAATCAACATATGCTCACTAGTGACAGGCTTCAAGAGGTATTTCCTTGAGTTCTAGCGAAAAGCAGTAACCAGTGGAGTTTAACCGGGTCTATTGTGAAATAGTAACTGACTGAAGACATTGGTTAATGTGTCGCTCAATTTAGTGGGTTGGTTGAAGTGAATCATTACCACCGTTGGATGCCGGCTCAGCGGTCAAGTGGTTAGGCGCTCTATTAGTATAAGTTCTGGTCCAATAGAGAGGGGTAGAATTGTTTATTTTGCGGTCTTCAGGTCTGCATCATGATTTTTTTGAGCAGTCGGAATTTCCGATGTGTATTATAATGTAACAGTTCTTATTCTAATTGTTTGACACATTAGTGAAACAGTATGACTGTCTACATACTAGTAGATACAAAACTAGTGTACGTGTATAAGTCAAGTCCGTACAAAACAAAATGGGTCATCAAACAAGTATACTTGTCTTACACATTAGTTAAAAAACAGAATAGATTATTCCATTGCTAATTCACTCATGCATCAACATACATTTCTGGTACAATATTATTTAATAGTAATGTACAAGTGTTATATTATATATACTTTATAGTAGTAACAGTGTACACATTAATAGAAAAATGTATTTTCTCAGAGCATATGCGGTTTGTATTGACCCATTTTTTAACTGTTTGGTATAGCTCATATTATGCATCTGTCATTAATTTTCTATCATTTTTAACCTTCTTTGTTTCTTTTTATTTTTAAAAGCATATTCAAGTGAAAACAAAAAGCACGAGAAAATTGATATAAGAAAAATGTATTTTTATAAATATTGTCTAGTCGCGTTTGTTTGTTTTTTTCGAGAAAATATTTTAAATACAGAATAAATCAAAGATCATTGATTAGTGTACTTGTTTGTGTGCCCGAGTTGGGGAGGTGTATATTTATTGTATATGCAAAATAATACTCTAACAGTGATATTCTTTAAAAATGTTGGGTTGTTAGAAACAGTAAATATCATTAGTGAGTACAAAAAAAATGTTGTTCCAGACGTGAAGTTGCGGGATTCTTCCCTAAAAATACCAAGTGATGATCTTTACATGTCTAGACAATGTGAATTAGTAGTGTATGTCCAAATTAACTAACTGGCAATTGGATAGTCATGATGATGATGCTGGAACTAATGATTGACTTGGTGATGGTCGGAAATTTAGCAGTTGTTTTCCAACTAAATATCTAAAAATTTATTTTTTTAAAAATTTGAAGATTTTAATATATACAGCTTAAAATGAGCTTCAAAAAGGGATCTATGCACGTTTACATATTTCATGTGTGTAATAGGTTCAAACTTCAATCTATTTTGTCATTGAATAAAACTAAAGAAAACGACGAAATCAACATCAGTTTCGTCTTCATATCTGTCCCGTAAATTATTTTCATCCTGCTACTGTTATCTAACCTCTTTGATCATGGATTTATAGCTAAATTAAATAATTTCGTCGAAAACAAACATATCCTTCATTGAAATTTCTTTATTTTAAATCTGTTCAGTTTTTAGTTGTGATAGTACATTAAAGATGAAATAAAAAAATTAATAAAATCCTCACATGTTCAGTTCGAAAATTTAATCAAATAGTCTTAATCCAGTCTTCGACCAAGAATTCCAACGTTTCAAATCTACTCTTCTCGATAGCTGCAACCAATATATTAGCACAAAAGTCTTCTAACGAAAGAACATAGAAATCACCTAAAACTACTTAGAACTAATAAAGACTTGATTATAACACGTCCAGTTGAAGGCGCTGGTTTAGTGCTGTTAGACCGCAATAATTATGTTGAAAAAATGACAACGCTATTAGCAGATGACACCAAATTCTCAAAACCAATCAATGAGAAAAACAAGACAAGTTATAGAAAAACAACTAATTGAAGTTCTTGAAAGAATGAAAAATGATAAGTTAATTGAAGGACATGTCTTTGAGCGAATAAAACCAACAGGATCATTAATACAGCGACTATATGGTCTGCCAAAAAATACACAAACCTGTCCTACCTCTCAGACCTATTCTCGATATGTCAGGATCTCCTTACCATTTTATCACAAAGTGGCTGACAAATCTCCTAGAACCCATCAGAAAACACATTTGTAAACACTCCATACTTGATACTTCTGAATTTATTGAGCACATAAAAGAAGTGAGTATAAATGACAAAATTATGCTATCTCTGGATGTCGAATCATTATTCACTAATGTTCCACTCACAGAGACCATTAATTCCATCTGCAGGTACGTAAATAACAGTCAGATTAACATCGGAATACCGGATGTTTATTTGAAGAAACTATTATTGCGGTGCACTTGCAATGTACAGTTTACGTTCAACTACGTAATTTATAAACAGAAGGACGGCATAGCAATGGGATCCCTTCTGGGTCCGTTACTTGCAGACTGCTTCATGGCCAGTCTAGAAAATCAACTGAAAGCGATTATAGAAAAAATTCACTTGTATAAAAGATACGTAGATGACATCTTTATCGTTTGTGACAACAAATATGACTTGAGTCATCTTCTGAAGACATTTTAATAATTGCCACCCAACAACAAAATTCACATTAGAAGTTGAAAACAAACAAAATATTCACTTTTTTGACATGGAAATGACAAGAAAGAAAGATGGTACTCTAAAAAGATCTATCTACAGGAGACCCATGTGGAATGACCAACTATCAAGCTTCCACAGCTGGGTCCCTATTAGTCGAAAAAGAAAACTAATAATAACACTCGCAACAAGACGACGAATCTGTAGTCATGACGTCATAGAGATACTTATTAAAAACGGATATCCTTCGATTTTCATTGATAAGAGCATTAAGCCGAAAACGTAGATAACTACAGTAGAAAAGAAAACTTTATACATGAACATCGAATTCAAGGGTGACAGCCACACACACTCTAATGAGGAGAATCTCCGATTCTTTAAAAAGAACACTCCCCGCTGCAATATAGCAAATAGTATTCCCCAGGCGATCATTGTTCACCAATGATCTTAAAGATAAATTATCGCATCTGACCAAATCAATGTGCATTTATCAATTTACCTGCTCATGTGGAGCTAGGTATATATGTCGTTCGATGTGTACTTTATCCAAAAGAATTCAAGAACATTGTCCGGCATGGCTAAAAAGAGGAGGAAGCGGTTCAATAAGAAGCTCAGTAATTGGACATTTCGTGAACACAACATTTATTTGATCGTGCTGAGCTATCCGTTTCCCTATCTATCTTTTGAGGAATACTTATGCCATTAACAATCAAACGATTATTAAACTTTCCTTGTTTTTGAAAGAATTTTTTCTAATAACTTTGTTTATTCAACCTCACTGTCAACATGCCTAACAGAAGGTTATTATCAGTACTATTATCATCCTGTAAAAATATATATTTGCGATTGTACAGCTTTGAAAATGAATTCGCCGAAAAGCGAACTCTTCGCTCAACTAATCTTTCTTAATGTCTTAATGGGTGTATTCTGTTTATTCAAAAATATCGCATTGTATTTATGCGTTCGATGGTTGCAGTCATCTTGACTTGGTTGGCTTTCAGCTATTCAGTTACCAGCTAATCAAGGCTGTAGTTTTATTATTATTATTGACTCGAATTTTCCCAAAATTCTAGTATATAATTCGCTCGTCACTGTACTCACTAGAAATGTTTAACTTCTGAGGGTGTTCAGAAATAATCGAAAATCAAGATTGTAGTCACAAAGGAAGAGGAAAATGTGAAGTTACTATGTATGACCTCATTATTTTGCCTATTTATTGAACAAATATTTTATGTTTTAAATGGTCGACTACACAGAATAATAAGATTTTTACTACAAACCTACTTTTCATCTTTAATATGCAAATAAAGACGTCGAATTTGGTCGATACACGAAATCAATAACACTGAACAGATAAACATGGCGAAAAGAAATGGATATATGTATCGAAATGCAACTTCGCTATCTAATGCTGTAGGGAAATAAACAAGTCAATAAGAAATTATTATTACGTAGGTAATAGTGATACATAAATACATATATACATTGGAAATATAAGATTCAAGTCGATAATCAGAAGCCGTAGAAACACGGTTACCTAGCTAACAATGCTAAAGAGAAATTAATCAAAATATAGCTTGTATTCTCAATATTTCGCTTTAAGCTATATGTTTTTCTATCAGTAACAGTACAACCGATAAATGGAAATATGTGGATTTATTCAAGTTTGTCAAAGATTTGTTTCCTAACAGCTATTTAGTTCACAATGATCGGCAACACGTACCTCCACAGAGAACAATGATTTACGATTCGACACATTTTGTTGCAGAGTATATTGAATAGATAATGGGTTTAAGTACGGGAGTGAACATCACCTCTGGGGTGCAGGTCGATTCAGATGACGTGCCTCAAGTAAAACGAGACGAATGTCTTGGGTTATAATGCTAGGCATATTCTATCTGTTAAATCTATCGAAGCGTCTAAATCACACATTTGAGATACGCACAAAACAGCGATTTGTCTAAAAATCGATTCTTTATTGAATAATATACATAAATTAGCCACGAACGTCAACTTGTGAGGGATCTGTAGCGCCTAACACGTCTGTAAGTCTGAAATAGAAAAGGCTTTCTGTAATAATAACGTAAAGAATCACCATAACATGCGATACTGCAAATGACAGTTAATAGCTTTGTCTAATCTTGATAACAGGGTACCAAAAAGCAAAAACAGAACCAAGAGCAAACAATATGGAAACTGTTGCGTTCAAACAAGGACTAAACTACTACACGAACTGCTGCTATAAGGATGAAGAGAAAGTAATTAAAATGGCAAATACAATGAATGTCATACGTATATGTAAATATTATGGAACAATACACGATAAATGTGCGGTACAACATAAGCGTAAAAACTGCTAGGAATATAACTGTTTACTGAATATTAATGAGTAGTATAAAATGATACACACAAGTCGGAGGGAAGTGAATAGGGACATAGAACGTAAAATAGACTTAATACCATTTATTTTATTAAAACTCATATCATGACGGCTATATTAAGGCAATCTGTACAGGAAGCACATTAGCCAATTAATACATCAAATTTGAGGCAAAATATGGACAACAAAATATACCAAACCACTGTAAATTAATTAAAAATGAGCTTGTTTTATTTTTACTCATTGTTCATACAACAAAGTAGGAAGGGGTTGAATCGAATTACTTATTGGATGATGTATGTCAATAGAATGTGTATATATTTTTCAAAGAATACTTTTTTATCCGACGTTTTATGGTAGAAATATCCACGATACTTTCTCCCTACTGACATTTACCGCTATTTGATTGTTTGTTTTCGCATTTGTATCGGTAATTTTACGCGAGGATAACCATCATTTTTTAAAGTTCGATAATGTGCAGTATCTAACATTTTCGAATAAGTCTTCGTTTATTTAGTTGGTGAATGCTGCAAATAAGACCATAATTCTCACTCAGAATTTCATTTTAACTATCTGAAGCTATCTGCATATCTCTTCAACGAACTAGCCAATGTAACGCATATGCCAGACGAAAAAGCAAAAGTTACGGCTTGACATGAAGTTCCCAGTGGAAATTATGGTTCTATATTTCACACTCGCCCACTAAGCAAACAGAAAATGCTTAATAATGTACAGAGATTGAATGTTGAGAGGTAAATACGCTACAGATTTACGGACACGTATCCTATCCTGCTAATTTTACTGCATCCCCCAAGGTCATGCTTTGTTGTTACATATATGAAGTTATTCTACTATAAATTTATCTTGAATTTGGAACTTTTCATAATTTGACTTTTTTCTTCCGTAGTAAAGGGGATTACCGTTAAAGTGTAGTGTAACAATTGTCTAATGATCTACATAAAAATCCCGTAGATCTCAGTCGGCTGTAATTAGGAATTGCTGTACATCGATACAACAAATATTGTAATGAACAAACTGTAGTAGTAGTAGTATCCAAGGAAAATATTTTCCTTGAAAAACCTTGGACCAGATTATCAGGTGACACGTTGGATTTACTTCAAATTCTTTCGCTGAGATTTTACAAAAACATTCTTCCACTTTAATGTCTCGCATAAACTCGGCGCTCAAATATTGTTAAACTATTCGTTCAAATTTAGACGAAAGTTCTTATTTATTAAACAAATAGATGTTTAGTATAGACCAACCAGTGAATATATGTACTTTAAAAGCAATCAACACAATAAATAAACAATCAAGATTCTTGAAAAATACACAGCTAGGTAAAAATCTTACCGATTAATGGACTAATATAATAAGCCAATAAATATGGTACACTTAACGATAATCCAATAGTTACAAGCAATGGTGCGATTGCCCAAAGTAAACGCATACAACGAGCATCTTGTCGATGATGTGTCATTTCATCATGAAACAATTCTAAACGATTTCGTAACCACCATGGCGGTCCAAGAAGAGTAAGTAAGATAACCACTTTTAAATGCATAATACCAAATATCCAATGCTATAAAAATTAAAAAGAATAGAGAAAATGATTACAACTAATCGGTAGCTAAACTAAGTCTATTATTGTAAATAGATATATGTTGAAAACTACCTTCAGTTAATTCGAGGTATTGCCCAATTAACTTTCAATGACACCCGAAATGGTTGAACTCTACTGGTCAAGTATTCTCTCTAAATTATATAATATCTTTAGTCCCTACTGA